GGCCCAGGATCGAACATTGTTTCGTTCTGCTGTGCATGGAGTCGCTATGAGTCGGTTCCGACTCGATGGCACCTGACAACAACAACAACAATAACAACAACAACAAATGAACAGAAAACATAAAAAATGATGGAAGAAATGAAGAGAGTCACTGTACCAAAAAGAAATGATTCATGACCAACCATTTTAGGAGCTGAAATTCATATGATCAAGAGCCAGTTTCTGAAGGGAGAAGCCCAAGCTGCACTAAGGCATTATTGATAAAACGAGAATCCAGGAATTGCGGGGATACCAATTCAAATGTTTCAGCAAATAAATGCAGCATTGGAAGTATTCATCTATGTCAAGAAATTTGGAAGACAGCTACCTGGCCAATTGACTACAAGAGATCCATATTTGTGCTCATTCCAAAGAAAGGTGACCCAATGTAATGCAAAAATTATCAAACAATATCATTAATATCACTTGAAATTAAAATTTTTCTGAAGGTAATTATAAAATGGTTTCAAAGTATATTGACAGGGAACTGCAAGAAATTCAAGCCAGATTCAGAAGAGGACATGGAATGAGGGATATCATTACTATCAGGTTAATCTTGATTGAAAGCAGAGAATACCAGAGATCTGTTTAGTTGTGCTTTAAGGGATTTGACAATGTGGGTTATAACAATCTGTGGATAACATTGCCAAGAATGGAAATTCCAGCACACTTAATTGTGTTTATGTGGAACCTTGAACAAGAGGCAGTGATTTAAACATTACTAGTCAACACTGTAAAATCAGGAAAGTCGTGTGTGAGGGTTGCATCCTTTCACCATATTATTCAAGCTGTATGCTGACCAAATAATCTTAAAAAGCTGAATGTAGCATTAGGATTGGAGGAAGAGTCATTAACAACCTGCAATCTGTAGATGACACAGACTTGTTTGCTGGAAGCAAAGAGGTCTCGAAATACTTACTGACAAAGATCAAAGACCACAGCCTTCAGTATGGATTGCACCTCAATGTAAAGGAAATGAAAATCCTTAACAGTGGACCAATAAATAACATCATGATAAATGGAGAAAAGACTGAAATTGTCAAGACTTCATTTTGCTTGGATCCACAATCAAGTATTTAGCAGTCAAGAAATTAAATGATGTATTGCATTAGGCAAATCTGCTGCAAAAGACTTCTTTGAAGTGTTAAGAGCAAAGATGTCGTTTTTGAGAACTAAGGTGCACCTGCCCCAAGCCAGGGTGTTTTCATTCACCTCATATGCATGTGGACAGTGAATACAGAAGATCTTAGATGGTGTTGACAAATGATATTGAAAGTACCATGGATTTCCAGAAGAACGAACATATCTGTGTTGGAAGAAGTACAGCCAGAATACTCCTTAGAAGCCAGGATGATGAAACTTTGCCTCTAATTATTTGGGCACGTTGTTGAGATCAGTTCTTGGAGAAGGACATTAGACTTGGTAACATGGAACATCAGCAAAAACCAGGAAGACCCTTAATGAGATGTATTGGCAGAGTGGCAGCAACTACGGTCTCAAACATAATTGTGAGGCTGGCCAATTTATCATTCCATTGTGTGTAGGGTCTATGTGAGTCAAAACCTACTTGATAGCACCTATCAACAACAACGACAGCCTGAAGATGTCTTAGAAATGAAGATGGGGAAATTTGCCTCACATACTTTGGGCATGTTATTAGGAGGGACAAGTCTCTGGGAAAGGATTGGCCCAATGTCTGTTGTGCATAGGTTTGCTATGAGTCAGAACCGACTGTACTGTACCAACAGCAGCATGTCAGGACCAACTCTACTGTGACACACATGGGGCGTCCCTGAGTGGGAACTGCATCTACAGCAACTGTGATGGTGGTGGTACACGGCATGATCTGAGTTCTTGGGTGATTCAAATGGTTAAACACTTAATTGCTAATTGAAAGTTTGGAGGTTACATCCTGCTAGAAGTGACCTGGCAATCTACTTACAAAGCAATCAGCCTTTGAAAACCCTACAGAACACAGTTCTACTCTGAAACATATGGGGACGCCAGCAGTTGAAAGTGACTTGACGGCGGCCATTTGCTTTTTACGTGACCATCTGTGGGTCCTGGTGTGATGCTGTAGGGTAGGCACTGGACTGTAACTGCAAGGGCGGTGGTTCCAGCCCACCAGCCGCTCCTCAGAAACCCTCTGCAGAGTCACTGTGAGTCGAAGCTGACTTAACAGCAATGGAGTGGTCATGTTTGTTGAGATGCTCAGAAGATCTTCCTAAGGAGGTGTTAGAAACCTGTAGGATCCTAGCTTTTTGATTTTGAAAATCAAATTTCTTGTATATTTACAGCAGTTACAGAAATGATGCATACATGATATGAAGCCTTTAAAAAATTCAGAAAAGCATAAAAAAGTGGGAAGTTTAAATGATTTAATAGTTTAAATTTTAATGATTTCTATCATTACTGACCCCAAAATAATGTCTTTTCCTTTATGTAGGAAATTATGTGATTATGAACATAAAAATCAATATATTTTATATCATATTTTTTAAAAGTGGATTTAAAAATATGTTCATAGATAAATCCATAAGAAGGAATCCCAGTGATCTGAAGTCATTAAGTCAAGATTGAGTCCTGAAGGTGGTGTTTTGTGCTGTTTTTGTTGTTGATTTTTAACTGGAATTGATTGCCAAGAAAATAAAAATCAATAGAAGATATGATATTGACAATTTTTACCATACTTAAAAAGTTTCAAGAAATCAACATATTCTCACACTTAAAAGTATTGAACACTAACCAAATCTTTGGAGTCCTAGTGTGGTGCTATAGGGTTGAGCACTACACTGCTAAGGTTGTCAGTTCAACCTACCAGCTACTCCTCAGAAAGTCCATATAGGTTTGCTAACTCACAACAAAAAGGAGCTCTGGTAGGGTAGTGGTTATGAATTGGGCTGTGAACTGCAAGGTCAGCAGTTCGAAACTACCAGCAGTTCCGTGGGAGAAAGATGAGGCGTTCTGCTCCCGTAAAGATTTACAGCCTCGGAAACCCTATGCAGGGTCGCTATGAGTCGGAACCGACTCCACAGCACTTAACAACAACAACAACAACTCACAACAAAAACAGCCAAATCCTTAAACTAAGCTTAATTCTTATTAACAATGCAAGTACTCTTTGACCTTGAAAATTGATATAAAGGTCTTCCTGGTTTAAAAATGAATAATCTTTCCTTACTCTTTCTGTAATAGATAGGCATTGTTAGGAATTACGGAGATATGCATTTGATAGTCTCGTTAGTAAATTATATAACATAGGTTTTGATGATTCCAAAGATTTCAAAAGCATGATTAGAAAAGACGATACATTTCTTCAGACACTCCTCGGAAACCCTATACAGGGTTGCTGTGGGTTGGAACCAACTCTATGGCACTTACACAACATCAATGGGTTTGCTTTTTGGGGTTAATTTAGCTATCTGCATTAACCAACCAGATGACGGAGAGCATCTTCTATCTTAGTAAACATAGATGTGGTGAGTAAGGGGAGTCTTGTGCAATTAGAGCCCTTAGATTTGATGCCACAACACAAACCAAAACACAACAGTTATTGCCAAATCTGTTGTGACTTATGGTGACACAATGAGTTATAGAGTAGAATTATACTCCATGGGGCATTAAAGGGTGTGCCCTTTCACAAGCAGATCACCATACCTTTTTCAGTAGTGCTTCTGGGTTAGTTCCAACTGCTAAGATTTAGTTAAGTAGTCAAGCACCGAATGATTCCTGCCACTCAGAGACTCACTTTCTATTTTTGGAGATATTCAGGCTGATGGTAGAAAGATAATTTCATGACAAAGTCTGACACACGACCCTCCTTGCAGAGTGTAAGGGGAAGGCAGAAGATCACGGGGGCCAGTCTCTTTGGTTAAAACACTTACACTCCATTTGAATTACAGGTGGTTAAATAAGCTTGGACTGGCTATAATCCATCAGGCGTCCACGGCACAAGATGAAGGTATGTCCTATTTAAAGTTCTGAAAATGTAGCTAGCGTATTGGAATGTCTTAAACAGGATGGGAAAGCAGTGTCGAATTCTGCATAGTCTGGTCTTGATGAAACATACGTTGGCATTTAAAATGATCTGAACATACATAGAGACAGACATATTCACACAGTCTCACTGACACAGAATCCAGCTTCCCATGCTGGCTGTGAGCGTCTTTCACACTTCGCCCACACTTTAGCAGTTGTAGGCTTCACTGACATCTCAAGACGTCTCTGACAATTGCCAATGCAAATGTTTTCTTGCCCCATTTACTGAGTTTTTACTCACAGGCCTGCCTCTCCCTGATCTAGTCATGATCTAACCAGATAACATGCAGCCCACTCTTTCCTCTCTGAGAGTTTAATATTTCCACCAGGTGTGTGCTGAGACTGATTACCCACCTGTTGACTTAGAATCCTGAACGTCATACTGTGGCACTGAGGAGTCTAATACTTTTCAATGATGCAATTACCCTTTGACCTTGAGAAGGGGGAGGCTTAGATGCATTGACCACAGAGTTGATGCTATTTTTGAAATGCTCAGGCCACATATGAAGCAGGAATCAGAAGGAGGGAGTTGTATGTTTTGAAAGCAGAAGAATCAAATCTTACATTTAGATATGGAACAGTGGCAACTTGATAGAAAACAGTAAAAAAGTACAGTAGAGCACCATGAAATCGATGGCCTGTTTCTGTTACATAAAATAAACACCCATTCTATTTTTCAAATACATTGATAGATTGCAAGGAAAAGAGAAAACTAAATAGATATCTTCTCCTTAGACCTTTCATATGACCTCAGTCGACCTTTCAGTTTTATTTTATACCATACCTTTTAAGGGTCTCCATATATTTGGCATGGTAGCATGACAGCTTTGTAGCATAAACACTGGTCTGTGAACCACAAGGTCAGCAGTTTTAGCCCACTGTGCCACTTCAACAGAGAAAGATGATGCTTTCTGTTCCTGCAAAGGTTTAAAGCCTTGGAAACCCAATGCAGGGTCACTATGAGTTGGAATTGACTTGGTAGCACTTAACAACAGCAACAATACATTTAGCTCAGCCTGCCTCTTGCCTGGTGCTCTCTTCCCGCTGTTTGCACATTGATGGCTTTACTTATCCTGCCACATCCAGCTCATTAGGATTCCTAAGATGAAAGTACTTCACTACTGACTGTGTACTCTCTTAGGAATCATTTTGCGGAATAATCGGATTTTCCCTTGGCTACAGTTAATTCTCTCCGAGGGTACTGGACTTTCTTGGGGGAGGAGAAGAGCAGAAACCTTGACTTGGCCATTCATTCTGTTTTCCTTCTTATGTAATCCCCTTGTACCAGGTAGTTCAATAGAAAAGCACTTTATGAGTTGGATTGAAATGTCAGTAACCGATAAAGAGAAACTTCTGCTCATGCATTAGGTAATAAGTGCTGGTCTTTTTAAAAACATGAAGCCTCTTCGTTTTTGTTGTAGAATGCTACAGTGAAAGTGAACAGGATGATCCTGAAGTAGCTGTGGAGACACCACCACCCCCTTACTCTTCGGAGACTCTGTCTGCTTCGGTAGGTGCAGCCCTCCTTCCTCTGATGCTCTGTGATCAGATACATGAACCTCATTTCTTCAATTTGGTAGAAACTACCTTGGCCAGTGGAGTCCTTGTGTAGTGCTGTGGGTTAACATGTTGGACTTCAAAGTTGGTTTGATATGCATGGTCGGTGGTTCAAGCTCACTCGGATACCCTATACAGGATCGCTAGGGGTTGGAATCGACTCTGTGTTACTTAGCAAGAACAACAACCTTGGCCAGTGGATTTTTGTTGTTGTTGTTGTCAGGTGCCATCGAGTCGGAACCGACTCATAGCGACCCCATGCACAGCAGAACAAAACAATGTCCGTTCCTGGGCCAACCTCACTACCGCTGCCACACTTGAGTCCATCAATGATGCCACCTGGCTGATCCATCTCATTGGGGGTCTTCCTCTTTTTCTCTGACCCTCCACCCTACCCAGCATGACATCCTTCTCCAATGATTGTTTCCTCCGGACAATATGTCCAAAGTAGGAGAGACGAAGCTTAGCTATCCTGGCCTCCAAGGAGCACTCTGGCTGCACTTCTTCCAAAACAGATCTATTGGTTCTTTTGGCAGTCCATGGCACTTTCAGTATTCTCCTCCAACACCACAACTCAAAGGCATCAATTCTTCTACGATCCTCCTTATTCACTGTCCAGCTTTCGCATCTATATGAGGCTATTGAAAACACAATGGCCTGGGGGATTTTTAGAACAGCTAAATTAAGGGATCTTCCAAGGAGCTAATGCAATTCTCAGGATGTTGATTTTGAGTCTTCTCCATAGCAACCTACTTTCATGAGACACTCAGTATATTTTTGCGTGACCCACAGTTGCATTTTCTTACTTAGAGGAGTTATCGTGATTCAAAGAGCTTTTTGGCAACAGAGCCATGTCTATAGAAATGTTTCCTTTTTAAGTCAACTTAATTTTTTTAGAGAGTTCCCATATGCTCCCCACTCCCTTCTGCATGTGTTTTCTCCTGTTATTAACATCTAGTATTGGCGCGGTCCATTTAAGTTGACGATCCAACACTGATAGGCTATTATGAACTGAAGTCTACAGTTCACTCTGTGTTATGCATTCTTATGGGTTTGGACACATGAGTAATGCCATATGGACATGATTTCAGCATCATACAGAATAGTTTCCCTGTCCTAAATATGGCCTGTGTTGCTGCTTCTGTTCATCCTCTCACTACCCCTGAGTCCCTGGCAACCACTAGTCTTTTGTACTGTCTCTATAGTTTTTCCTTTTCTAGAATGTCTATAGAAATAAGACTTGTTTACTAGGGCTTATTTATACCTACTTGTTCTTATAAGGAATTCAAAATGCCTTGCCGAGGTACAATAAATTTAAAGGGAGTATAGAAAATAGGATAAGGAGAGAATAAGAGTCAGATAGGCAGCAGGAAGCCGGTAGTGACGGTAGTGTATTAATTACACGTAAAATATAAATGTCTTCTCACTAGGCAGGGTTGCACATTTGATGCTAAACTCTGGAAGCATCCACTATATACTCAGGTTATTAATAGACGTGGAGACTATGCAGGGTTGATTGTTTCATATTTGTTGCTCATGAGCATTACAGTGCTGGCCCTAGATGGGTCACACAGGATCATTGAGGACACTGTCTATATTCTAGTGTGGCACTTTGAGGTAGTGCACTGGACAGCAAGGTCGCTTGAACTGCAAAGTCAGTGGTTCAAATTCACTAGTTGATCCACAGAAACCCCTATACAGGGTTGCTATGAGTCAGAACTGACTTGCAGGCACTTAACAACAACAACAACAGCAGTAGCAGCAATGTGCTCAGTGGAGTCCTGGTGTGGTGCTATAGGATGAGCACAGGACCGCAAAGCTGGTTTGAACCACAAAGTTCATGGTTCAAACTCAACAGTTGCTCCTCAGAAACTTTATACTGCATCGCTATGCATCAGAACTGACTTGGTGGCATTTAACAATAATGTGCCAAATGGTAAAATGCCAGATTTCATCCTAGGTACTTTAACAGTGCATAAGGAAGACCACAGAAGAATTGGTGCTTTTGAGTTATGGTGTTGAAGGAGAATATTGAAAGTGCCATGGCTGCCCATAGAACCAATAGATCTGTGTTGGAAGAAGTGTAGCCAGAGCGCTCCTTTGAGGTCAAGATGGCCAAACTTCGTCTCTCATACTTCAGACATATTGTCAGGACGGACTAGTTGCTGGAGAAAGATCATGTTTGGTAAGGTGGAGGTTCAGACAAAAAGAGGAAGACCCCCAACAAGATGAATTAGCCAAGTAGCAGCATCGATGGACTCAAGCATGGCAACAGTAGTGAGGTTGGTCCAGGATCGGGCAGTGTTGTGTTCTGCTGTGCATAAGGTTGCTTTGAGTTAGTACTGACCTGATGGCACTTAACAACAACAACAACTTTAACATATGATCATTTTATCCCCAAACAACTCTGAAAAGTATTACTCCATTTTTGTTAGGCATCTGATTGATGACTTGGATTATTTTTCTTCTTGTGAAGTGCTTGTTCAAGTCTTTTGCCCATTTTCAGTTCTCTTCCTCGTCTCTCTGTTCTTGTATTGGTTTTGATCAGCAGGATTTCTTTATTTTTCTCTATATTATTAGTGTCTTGTAAGTTTTAAGTGAGGCACATCTCTCCCACTCCGTGACTATTTTTGTTTGTTTGTTTGTTAATACTGTTTTATGGCTACTTTTAGTAAATACATGTTCTTGATTTTAATGTGTCCGATGTATCCATCACTTCATTGTGATTAGTGCCTTTGTTTCTGGCTGGAGAAATTATTTTCTATACTTAAGTCTTCAAGAAGTACATAGGATTATCTTCATTTATGGATGAGGACATTGAGGTTCACAGAGGTGGAATGGATATTCTTCTCGCCAGTTCTGCTTGACCTTCCCTTAATACCGTGGTTCTTGCCCTACATGGCCCAGGTTGTACCTGGTCCCAAGGTTCTAGCAGGTTACAGAAGTTCATACATTTAACAGGCCTCTTCTAACAGAATTTTCTGTTTTCTATGAGAAAGTCATTCCTTTATTTGTGTCTCGTCAGTTCTCAGATTTAAAATATTAAAACGTAACATTTAAACAATGACCTCTACTGTTTGTATACACTGTTAATTGAGAATGTGGTTACTTTCTAATTTATTTAGCTAGTGAATGAAGTCCAAATAAATCATTGTTGAATAACTATTCTTAGCAAAATCACCATGAAATAGAATTAGCCAAATTAAGCCCAGTAAGAAGAAAATTAACTTCTAATACGGTACAGTGTGGACCCATTTTTGAACCTGATTTACATATCTCATTTCTTAAAATAGTCATAGATTTTCCTTCATGAAATATTTAAAAAATTAATTTCTGAATTTAGAAAACGGTTTGATTTTCTTTACATCACTCAAATGTAATGATATCTCCAAGCACCAAAGTCTTTTTGAACTTTTAGCAAGTTTTTTTTAATTGGAGAATTACCCATTTCCTGCTCCAGTTTTTAAAGACTTCACCAACCTTGTACAGAAGAAGATTCATAACATGTTGTTGGGTGTCGATTGAGTAGAAAAGCACATATCTCTTGTCTTTCACTCTGTCCACCTCCCTTTCTCTCCCAGTGTGGCTGTCTCTTTCTACTTACCTCTGTAACAGAAAGAACCTCTTTTCATTTCTACCTGACATTCTCATTCCCCTCACTCTGACCATCAGCATGACTCTCACAGAATTATATTTTAGCTTTGAAATGCTGTGATTTCCAGAGATTTTTATAATCGAGAACAAGGATCACAGATTACCAAGAATGTTGCCTGGCCTTTTATTTTCATCTAGAAGCCTAATTGTTGTAGTGCAGTGCTTTCAAATCGATTCTGATCCATAGCGACCCTGTATAGGGTCTCCAAGGAGCAGCTGGTGAGCTTGAACCGCTGACCTTGCAGTTCAAATAGCTTTGCAGTCTGGCGTATTAACCCAAGCACCTAATAGATGAGAGTAAAATCAACCACATTGTCTTCTTAGATGAAGGCTCTGGCCCAGTTGCTGCTGAATACAATCACAGCCAAACCTGATGTTACAACAGAATCACAGCAAACAATTGTTTCCAAACAAACATGGAAAGGAAGCTACTGAAATCATTAAGTTAGGGCACTGGAGCCAGAGAGTTCTTTAAAATGTTTTGATTCATCAATCAAATGCTGTTTCTTAAAAGTTAATTGCATTTAAGTGAAGCACTATTTGGCAGAGAACAAAAGGTTAACATTTTTCTCTAGAAATATATTAGGATCAGTCTGATAAAATATTGAGCAGTTAGATGCTTTTTTCTCCCCTTAGAAACAGAATATTCTCCTCCTGCTTGCATATTTCCCAGACAGATTTTGTTTTTGCTTTTTTCTTGTTTCTGAAAAACAGACATGCAAGGCACTTGGTTAAAATAACATTTAAGGTTTTTATTTGAACAATTAAAACTGAAAAAAAAAAGATCAAGGTAACTTTTATCCAGAGCATGCATCAAGTTGTTGGTTCTGCTCAGTTTGGTGTAGATTAGCCATGAGTGTGGTATAGACTATGTCAGAAACAACAGACTGCAGAGGAATGTCGTCATATTCATCGTCAAAAATTGCCTTTCAATGTCTATCTTGAGGTATAGTGTTGTCTGTGATAGAATAATATCCATAATACCATAATATCACTGTGATTCAAATTTATGCCCCAACCATTAAAGCCAGTGATGATGATGTACTCTGGTAGAGTAGTGGTTACGAATCGGGCTGCTAGCTGCAAGGTCAGCAGTTCGAAAGTACCAGTTGTTCCGTGAGAGAAAGATGAGGCTTTCTGTTCCAGTAAAGATTTACAGCCTTGAAAACCCTATGCAGGGTGGCTATGAGTCGGAACCGACTCCACGGCACATAACGACAACAACAACCAACTTCTTCAGAGCCGTGGTACTGCTAGATAATGCACTACACTGCAAGGTCACTTCGAATTGCAAGGTCA